TGTGATTACAGCTTAAGTCTATGCCTATATTTTAACATGGGTTTCGTGAGTCTACGAGTAATTAACATGGGTGTACTTCATAAGTCTATGGCTATACTTTAACATGGGTAATTCTACGTCTATGGCATATGAATAACATGTGTAATGGTATATCTATGGAACAATGAGTATATAAATGAATCTTCCATAATAAACAGAGCTAATTGTTGTCAAAAACATTTAAAATTCTTAAAATAATAAAAGTGAGAGTATTCTAACAATAGTATTGAAAAATTTAAAATTTTGGATGCATTTCCCGAATTGTGGGGGGGCCGAACGATCCTATAAACCACATTATTCATGCTGAATTGTGGTTAAAAATATGAGTTTTAAAATTATATTTTTATATTTATTTAAGATTTAACATGTGATTACAGCTTAAGTCTATGCCTATATTTTAACATGGGTTTCGTGAGTCTACGAGTAATTAACATGGGTGTACTTCATAAGTCTATGGCTATACTTTAACATGGGTAATTCTACGTCTATGGCAATGCTAATCCTATGGGGATAACATGGGTAATGTTAATCTAATGGACAATGTTAAGTCAATTGGACTAATTGTAAGTCTATAAACAATGATAAGTCTATGGGCAATGCTAGATTTAACCATTTACATTCTGTCAAACTAGAACATTTATACACACAAACAGCCACGTTCAAACATCATACACCTAAATGTACATCATACACTTTAATTGAAAAAGTCACATCATTTTATTAAAATACACTAATCGTTTTAAAATACATTGAATGTTGTAAAATAATAGCTTTAAATTGTTCACACAAATGATCCGTTCACACAGCTGGTACTTTTTTGAACATTATGTCTATGCAGTGCGGGGTTTGGTTCATACAAATTGTTAGTTCACACAAATGTTACTTCACCAAAATGCTCTAGTACTGTACATTGTTTTTGTTATATCCAATAAAATTAATTTTCATTGTGAATTGCTTTTTTGATCCAATGCTGAAATTAATTTGTAAAGTATTAAGAACAAGTTATAATGATGTCAAACGGGATACACAATTGCATATGAGTAAAGCATTGATTTTTAGATGACAAAAACTAGTATTACAGGCACTATAAAAGTTACTTAAAAATGACTAAAAATGTGCTAAAAATGTGCTAAAAAGTTATTAAAAAATGATTAAATTTACATCAAAATAATACATTCAAAAGTCAATAACATTCGTTTTTGAATTAAATAGTATCACAAAGTATTGCTTGAGATTTTCGGGTTTTCGAAAGATATTTAACTGTTAATAAGGCGACGTTGACACTTGCTCGAAACCCACATGCTCGAAATGTTATAAATTTAATTATTAACGTAATAATTAATATAAAACATAATGATTTTTATGTTTAGTGCAATATAATTTACAATATAATATGACAATAAAACACCAATAATTAATAAATTAAGTAATTCATCTTTCGTTTTTAATAAATTATATACAGTTTTGTAGTTTTATTAAAATATTTTTCATGAGTATGAATATTTTTGCAATTATAATATTAATAATATTTTATATTAATTATGTCACTAATTACATTTATAAAATTTTGAGCATGTAGGTTTCGAGCAAATGGGTTTTGAGCAAGTGTCATACTCCTGTTAATAAGTGGCAAAATTGAGCTCAATATTACAGTTAGTGGACATGACTTGAAAAGCGCGACTTCTTTAGGACTCTATGTGTAACTTTAAATTACTATCACCTCTCAAAATCTCATTTATTTGCTGTAATCTATTAAACCAGTTATTTTTTAAACAAATTGAAGTTTGTTTAAAGATTTGTTTTGATTTGCAATCCAATAAATCATTTAATTTACATTAAAATTTGCAAAATAGGTCAAAAGTTACCAAACAGTTACTAAAGGTGAAAACGCCTCAAACGGTGCTAAAAATATGAAATACAAATCTTCCAAAATACTCCTAAGGTGATATATGATAATATCATATTATGCTTTCAATGGTTTTCTGCTTTCTGAACAAAAAGTTATTTAACTTAAAATCAATGCTTTACACATAAAATTCATAAAAGTATATAAAGAGATGTTTGTCAAGCATTAATGCACATTGAATTAGTTTATATTAATTTAATTAGTTTAATATTTATATTATCATATGATAATTGTCTTGAAGTGATGGCTTATTTTATAGATTCGTGGTTCTTGTGGAGCATTATTAGCCTCGGTTTGCTCTATTGGTAAATAAAATTTATATTACTTTGAATGTTATAAATAATAGACCAGCTAGATATTGTTTAAATAAATATTGTTACTCATATTTATATTTATAATTATTTAATTATAAGGTTTTTAAAATTAATATTTTATATTTTGTTATTCCACTTAGGTATTTTACCCGAAACTTTGGCTTTTTTACCAAGCAAGGTATTAGAGGGCCCCGACCTCTGCCTTGTATAGGCAACCTCTGGGAAATGTATTTCACCTCGATGCCCGACTTAGAGTTGCAGCGTTACAAGAAATACGGCAAAATATACGGGTAAATTAGCATGCAAAATTATTCAGATTTTAAGTTTAAAATACATTAAATTTATATAATAACTACAGTATGTTAATTGTAATCATAACATCATATTCAATCATACATTTACTTATAAAATATAGCTTATTTGAGGGCAATAAACCGATACTGAGAATTGGAGACCCAGAACTCGTCAAACAGATTATGGTAAAAGACTTTCACGTGTATCAAACCCGTCGCCCGGGTTCTAACGCCAAACACCCGGTGGCCGATCTTATTATGTCTCAAGTATGCTATAATTATAATACTATTCTTATGAGTCAGCATTTTATAAAATGATTTTTATTGTATAGCATATCACGCTTTAACAGTTAAAGTTTAACTAATATCCATGTAAAATCTATGTGTGGTCTTTATTTTTTCATAGTATACCATTTAAATTATGAATCTGCTAGGAGAGGTTTTACTATGTAAACTTGTGTAAGTTTTTGTGCACATTCTTAATTAAAATACTAAAATGCTATATTCATATTGACCGAGGGTATGGTTTATTAATCAGAAAATACTTTCCTATGTACTTTAGTAATATTGTAGTTATAATTTTCTTTGTTTTTATTCAATACTCAATCAATAAAAACTCAAGTCGCGCGACGACGAGTGGCGACGGATGCGCACAACAGCCACTCCCAGCTTCTCGACGGCTAAACTGCGTCGAGTTTGTGAACTCATGAACCGATCGCTGGACCAGTTTGTGGACGCCGTGCGCACCAAAGCCCTACCCGAGCGAGTGGTGGACATCAAGTGGTGGTACGCGTGCTATTCAATGGACGTCATAGCGAACTGCATATTTGGCGCCACCACTCAGGCCTACGCCGACCCCAACGACCCGATGGTAGTGAACGGTCGGGCGATGTTCCGTCCCGTGTACTGGCGATGGTTGGCCACAATGCTGTTCCCCACGTGGCTATTGAATTGGCTGAACATTCACTCCGAGACCAACGATAAGTCGATCGACTATTTCTGTCAATTCACGCGACAATTGATGCGTTTGAAGGAAAGGGAGGGAACGGAAGGGAACCGAGAATTCAGTGATTTTATTAATCTTCTTACAAAACAAAATAACATGAAAAGAGAATTCGATGGGAGTATTGGTAATGAAGGTAAGGGATTAGAAAAAAATGCGCTTGGCACATAAATGTCACCCGCTGCCTATAAGGAGTTAATAGGGAATCTCAGGGAAAAGTCACGTTACAGGGAACTTTAATTGAGTCTATTTCCCCATCCCTGTTTATCCATAACTAAAATTTTAATATTATAACAAATATAATTAAAGGCAAACAACAGCTAGAAGTGGATGAAAGCGATGGTGAGCTGAACCCACTCGACGCCAACACACCGGCGGCCAACAAATATCGGACAACCAAACAGTCGACTCTCCGGCCGATGACAGAAGACGAGGTGATCGCACAGGTATTCTCGTCGCTGACCGGAGGGTTCGAGGCCGGCAACAACGCACTCGCCTTCTGCACACTCGAGTTGGCACTCCATCCGGACATTCAGGAGCGGGTGTACGACGAGGTCGTGTCCGTCACCGGGGAGTCCGGCGACGGCCGCATAGACTACGAAACGTTGGCCCGAATGACATACTTAGACGCTGTGGTCAGCGAGACTCAACGCTTTCACTCGGCAGCCCTGCGCCCGACACGGGTGGCCGCTATGGACCACACACTGGGCGACACCGGAATACATGTACGTAAGGGACAGACTATTGAGCTGATGGCGTACGCTATGCACCGGTCGGACGAGTACTGGCCCCGCGCCGACCGTTTTGACCCTGAGCGTTTTATGCCAGAAAATAGGCATTTGATTAATCAATACGCGTACATACCGTTCGGCGCCGGACCCCGTGCTTGCATTGGCCAGCGGTTTAGCTTAATGATGATTAAGTTAGGTGTGGCCCGAATGGTCCGTCAGTTCAAGTTTAGGCCGTGTGAGCGAACACGAGTGCCCACACCTCTGGTCAAGAATATGCGCTTCAAAGCGGCTCAAGAGGTCTATCTGTCCGTCGAGACACGTGCTTAACGAATAATAATGAACCGCCAATTATGGCCATGTGTTTAATAATTATCACAATTTATTGATAAGAATTTAATTATTTATAAAATTAATTCAGATTTATGACAGTAACTTTTTTTTAATTTGCTTGTAGTTTGCTTAGCTTACTATAGTTTAAGAATAAAATCTATTTAAATGAATTCTGTGTGTTGAATAAAATAGTTTTAAAATCACCTATTTAATTTTATAACTATTATATTATTAAAAAGGAATTAATAATGATGTAATTCTTATTCAACTAATATTGAGCCTATGATAGTAAATTTAATTAATAATTATGATAAATTCCATCGGATTATGATATTTCCAATGTCATTTCAATGAAGAATATTGTTTTAATAATTATATTTTAAATGAGATTGCATATACACGTAAATAAACATGTATATGTAAATATTTCAAAACATTTTAGATCCTGAAACTGTTTTTGTAACAAAATTTCTTAATTAAAATGACCAATGTCATTGTTTTAATTAAATTTTTAATATTTAAATTCTTGGTAAGTCCAAAAAAATATTTAAAGTATTTTTCAAAACATTTAAACAAACAATTTTTTACAATATCATCTTGTTTATTTAAATAATTTTTTAAACCATATAGCAATACATGAGTAGTAAAGATATTGCATGATCCTGATAATTGTATGAATAATATATTGTCATGTATAGAAACCTATGTAATATATAATTCTAATTACCCTAACTTTGATTGACTACCAAGGCTATTTAAACGATGCGATCTTAA